TAAACTGAAGATGTCTGCTTGCTGTTAAGTGTTGGACAATCTCTCTCAAGCTTGATACCTTTCTCTTGGTAAGCAGAAAACAATGTAGGGGCAAGTAGATGGTTCAGCTGGGCTGAATTTCTCTCAGTTTGAGACCATTCAGAATAGCTGAGTGAGCCCTAACAAGGAGGTCTGTCCTGGGCAGAGCTGTGTGGCTGTCACAGTGCAGGCTGGTGCCTCGGGACCAAGCTGAGCCCCTGAACTCATGTGATGCTGCTTTTCTTCTCACGTGGAGTCTTGTCAGTGTCTCTGGTATACCAGAGATCAAAGTTGCCATTGAAGTTTCGCAGCGTGAAATGAAACCTGTTTCATGAATTTCAATTTCTCTTTCTGGCCTACCACCCCCTTCCCCTTCTCACATCCTGCAGGGTTAGGTATTTTAGTCTCTCAAAATTTTCATTTTATGCCCTTTTATTCTATTTTTACAGCTGCTTGGGTGAAATGGTTTTCTCCTAGGAGGCTGAATGTAGCTGCAGGTGAGATCAGATAGCCGTCGATGGGCAGCCTGCTGCTGATTCAGACGTAAAATAGGATTCATATGAGGGCAGCAGAACAAGTGAAACTAAGATTGTAGTGTCTGGGTGTTCTGGTTGTTTTAATCTTGTTGAAGACCCCTGCAACAGCCTGTACTGCAGGATGGCAGCACCACTGCAGCCTCGCCTGGCCAGTGGGCAGAGGCCATGCTCTGTCCTCCTTCTGTGGGGCTGTAGTTTTGACTGTTCTCTGTTCAGCTGCTGATGGAATGTGTAGGATTAGACTCTTCACATCTTGCTCCCCTGTCTTTTCAGATCTGGTGGAAACTGGCTGGCTGCTTGTGAGGGGTAAAGGTGCATCTCAGTCCACAGGTCTCCTTGGCTTAGCATGCTCCTTAGGCTGGCTGTGGATTAGAATTGAATCACAGAGGGCTTGCTGTCTAAGATGAAGCATAAAAGATGTTCCTGTCCCAGAAAGCTTCTGGAACTGAAGCACAAAGTGAAGTGACTGAGGGCTTCAGGTATAGGAAGATTTGGATCTTAACAGTAAGATGATGGAAGTACCAATCTTGGACCTCTTAAATTAGTTTCAGTTACCTGATTGGTTTTAATGTCTGGGATTTGACACATCAGGTAATTTTGAAATTGGAAGTTGATTGTAGAGCATCCAGTCCCTTCTCGTTGCCAGTACTTGTTCCTTTTCCTTTCAGTATGCATTTCTTTCTTCCTATCTAATTATACATATCCCCAGTGACTGCTTCTTTTTTGATACCCTCAGTAAATGTTCATATTCTAAACCAGTCGCCTCAAGTTCTGCTGCTTATTTGCTCTGGGGATGAACCCTGGCTCCTCACCTTCAATTTGGGATAAGGGAAGCGAGTAATGGAAAACAGAAGGACATTTTTACAAAATGAGGGACAGTGCTGGTCTGGTGCAATTTAGTTTAAAATTCAGAGCATTAGTTTGTGTTTCTGTCATGGCTTTATTCCCTCTCTTGTCTGTTTTACTGGGAGAAGAGAAGCAGGAATTAATTCCTTTCTAACCAAGCTTTGGAAATTCGCCCAAACCAGTGCTCAGCCCCTTGGGAATCAGCCCTATGGCTGCACAGGAGTTAACTTCTACACTGGAACTCCTTTTGTATCTGCCCAGCTACAGATGTGAAAAAGGAAAAGCAGGTACCAAAGGCAAATGGAGCAAGAGCCAAAAGAAATGCAGACTCTTTGGTGTCACTCCTGTATCCAAGCAGGGAAGATGAAAGGCTGTGTGTATGCTTCAGTAGCCTTCTCTCTTCTTGTTCCAGGTATCATTTTGCCCCCTGAGGAGCAGAGGCACAGGGAAGCTGTGACTAGTTACTCTTGTTTGCTTATGTTCATTTGGAAGAGATGTGAGCAGAGCTGCTTGTGCTGCTTACGGCAAAGGAAATAGGTCTCAGGGGAACAATTAATTCTGCTTGGCTATTTCTGAGCCAGGTGAAACCACAGAAGGAACCTGTGTCCTCCCCACTGTCTGAAAGGGAGGTATTTATTTATTTTACTTTTTAATGCACCACTGACAATTTATGGTGTGGGTCTGAATGAATTTTTAATGGAGAATTGATGGAAGAAAGGTGTATAACATGGGAGATTAATAGAAGAGGTTATTGGACTTGAAGAAGAAAAGGAGGAAAGTGACAGAGAGCTGATATATTAATTAACTTCTCCCTGCCTGTGCCGTGATTGCACAGACACAAGGATTGAGTGCCAGAAGGGGAATCTGGTTGAAAACAAAGCGATTCCAGTCTTGTGTTAGTGGTGAAATGGCAGGACTTCAGTATCCTTGCAGCTTGAATAATCCGGGCTGCTGTTTGCAACACAAAGCAGAGCATATTTTAATTAAGGCGTTCTGCAGAGCAATGACCCAATGTGTTGGATAATAAGAATAATAACGATACATTATTTAAAATATAAATAATAAGAAGCAGCAAAATAAGAAATGGTAGATGTAAATATAATAATCATAGAATGGTTTAAGGCTTCTGCCCCTTAGCCTGCTGCTTTAAGTGATCAGGCAGTTCAGATGCAAACAAAGGACCAAATGTGCTTTTATCTTGCTGATGTATCAGGCAGGGGATTGTGGGACCCTTGGGTGGGCGTGTGGGCAGGGTCCCCTTTCTCTGCTGCTGGGTGGTTGGGCACAGCTTTGCCTTGCAGAGAAGGGCTCTGCTCCTGGAGCACATGAACACCCTCAAAGGATGCCTGTGAATGTCAGCAATGCGTTTCTCTCCCTTTTGTGAATCCTGGCAATCTATTAATTGTGCTGCCCAAGAGCAGTGTCGGGGGAACAAAGCAATCAGTGCTACCATCTGCTGTGAGCAGGCTGGCCGTGCTGCAGGGTGGGAGGGCTGCCTGTTACCCTCCTGTCCGTTGCTGACCCCTCGCTTGTGTCTGCACGTCCTGGAAATAAGTGGTCGGAGTGTCAGACTGATGGAGAAAGAGTAGGTTGGGTGAAGGCGGAAAGGTAGCTGGGTCACAGTCTCTTGGGAATGAGCCAAGGACCAGAGATTTCTGATGGAAGCAAGACATGATGATTCTGAGAGAGCTTGTATTATACCAAACCAGTTTTAAAAATGAAACATCTCATATCTCCAGTGTTACACTTGTCACTGTTTCAGGAAAAATACACAGTTGCTTCATTTGGGGGTGCTGCAGTTTTCCTCTAACAGCAACTGCTGAGCTTCAGGTTGGCAGCAGGCAGGGAAATGCTGTGACTTTGCTTATGCACTCGTATCCCATCAGCATCTGGTATGAGCTTCTGACCATTACATGCAAGCTTAGTTTAGTTAATCTGATGTAATAAATACATCAGAAGTGACCCATGATAGCCAGCTGCACAAGTGTTGAGGAGCAGGTCTGTTCCCTCTGATAATGGATGTGCAATATCCTTGGAAGATCAGACTGGGTTCCTTTTGTCACTCGTCTCTTGTAAAGCAGTTGGCCTCTGTGGTTTTTCTTTATATTTGTTCATAATATTTGATTCTAAATGACCGAAGGGCAAATTGTCCATTTGATTCAGAACATGGCTCATTTAGCAGTGGAAAGGGGGGAATAAATGCATATTCTCTTTATGAAGTGCATCCTGAGAGGTTGTACAGCTGCTTACTGGTGCGTTGTGGTGTTTTCCTGCTCCATGCTTGTTCAGGGAAGCTGTGTGTCTCACGTTAGGACATGAATGCTTGGTTTCTGCCATGACAACCTCCCCAGTACCTCATGCAGCAATGACCCTCTTCCTGCATAGGTCATGGGCTTGTAAGCTTGTGCTTATGTGAGAAAAAATAAGAAAAAGTCAGATCAAGTTGTTTTTAATGCTTTGAAGATGTCTGCTGGAAGAAATGCTGATGAAGCCATAATGTGTACATATGACTTACATTGAGTAGTAGGTACGAAGTACAAGCCTTCCTGTGGAATCAGTTAAGCAGTGGAGCAGATTGCACGGGGAGGTCATGCTGTCTCCATCCTGAGATTGAGATGTTTAAAGCAGACTGAGTGAAGCCATGAGTCGCCTGGTCTGGCCTGGTCTTGAGGAGGAGGCTGGACATGGCATCCAGGTGTCCTTCAATGCCTGAATGTTCTTGTGATCCTATTAGATTGTGAGCAGCTTTGCAGAAGGGAAGAAACAAATCTCCTTGCCACCACCTCCTATATGAATTGGTTGGTCAGCTGATCTGCTCTTCAATTGGATTCCTTGTAGAAAAGCCACACCATTGGAAAAGGCAGTGACTTGTGATCACGTACACACTGATGCCAAGGACTGAACAGGCCAGATTGTAGGCTGCTTTCTTTCTGCTGCAGTGCAGTAATGCTGATGTATATTAAAGGCACTGAGCGTGCTGCACCACCAGCACAGTGGAATAAACCCGTTAATTGCTTGAGCCTCCTGCCTTGCATCTTTTTCAAGCCCTAGATTAATGCAAGCAAAGCAAAGAGTGTTGAGTGGTTGACATTTAATGAAATGATGTTTATTGTCTGGAGGAGTGCTTTATGATCATCTAATAGGGTGACAGATGTACTAAAAAAAGCCATGATAGACTGTGTGGATAAAAACATTGTTAGATCGTAGTACTCCAAAGGCAAGACTTGTCTTACCTGTCTGTAAATCATGCAGCACGCTTTCAGTTCCATGTAAGCAGCAGTGTTTTGTAGTAAACCCCAGATCCTTATTTTGATAAAGAGCATCCCTATTTTTACATATTGATTTATTTATTTTTTTTACTGTCTGAAATAAAATATACAAGAGTAGATCCATTTTGAATAATTGAGGAATAGAAGTTTTAGAGAAGAGGAACACCCGATAACTGAGTGTTTCTGTCATGGAGAAGCAATGCTGAATGTGAGATGAATTCTCTTGATGTGGGGAAATCAGTGTTGGCCTTCTTGGGATTGGATGCCATGAAGGTGATCTGTTGTGCTTATATTCACATCCAGTTCTGTTTGTTTTTTTCTTTTCCTGCAGCAAAGAAAACTTGTGCTGAGTCGGATTTTGCTTGTGACAACGGCCACTGCATCCCAGATAGGTGGAAGTGTGACGGTGAAGAAGAATGTTCTGATGGGTCGGATGAATCAGAAGCAGCATGCAGTGAGTAGCACAGACAAGTGGTGTTTCTCAGACATGTCGTCTTGTCAAAGCATGGAGTGCTAAGAAATGGAAGGTGTTATTCTTAACACTCACAGGATGATGTTTAAACTTCAGCTTTTGTTGTAACAGAAATTAAACACACAAAAGATTCAGGTCATTTGAATCAGATGGCGTCCAAATGTTCCCGTATACCAGTTTTCCAGACAATGATACAGATAGAACTATACAAGGTGTGTTTCTGTCTGGAACAGGAAACATTTCTAGCACTACTGCAGTTCGCATAGTTTCAGGGCTTGTGATCAGCAGTGGTGCATTAAGATTCCTGATCACTCTTCTCACAAAAGAGAAAGCTTTTAAGAAGCAGGAGTCCAAGGGGAATCAGAAGCTATTATTTAGCACTACACCCACAAGGTGTACTGTTGCTCCCCGGCTTCCTAGTGTGTGAGGCTGCACCAGCAATCATGTAAGGTCTGAATCAAGTACTATGAAATCTGTGTGCCTGGGGTCAGGCCTTTGCAAACTGCGATGTGCAGCATTTTGCATGGGGTAGCATCTTAGGATTCTTCACTGCAGACAGCACTTCTGTCACTACAGCTGAACTTTCCAATTCCTAGAGCACTGCTCAGTGTTATTATTTCTTATTTTAGTTTTTGCCTTGGAGAACAAGTGAAGAAAAACATAACAGACAAAAGATGAGCAGTGTAAAATAACTGAAGCTGAGAGTAAATGTAACAGTTGATCAGTACAGACAACACCTTTTAAAAATATATTGATAGAGTAAGTAAAAGGACATGCTTGATTTCCATAGTGCACGTGATGTTTTCGCTGTTTGAGGACCTCTGTCCATGTTCTGTTAGCACAGAACTGTGAAGGTCTGATGCTGAGTTGAAGGGAATCCCAAGAACACCGTAATGAAAACACTAGCTTGCTTACATCTGCAGATTTGTTCTTGGGCAGACCAAGAAACTTATACAAGCCATTCTATTGAATTTCCAGTCATGTACTTCACAAATATATTCCCATGAGTCAGAAACACTGCTGGAGGAAGTGTTTTATTGGCACATAGAGGGCTTCACAAATAACCATGCTTTTATTTTTAATCCTAGTACCTGTTCTACCTTCTCCCTCCCTAATTAAGAAAGATAAATAAGCTTATCTTTTGCATAAAACGAATGGAATATTTTTTGCAGCCATATACTGGCTTCAGAAAAACTTACTTCAGTGACTGCATTCGCATATTTATGTACTATAAGTGTTGGTCTTTCACCCTGCATCCGCCTTAGTCAAAAGCTATCTTATTAATGCTCCTTCTGCTACCTGATTGTGCGGAGGGGGGCTGCATAACTAAGCAGCTCCATTCCCTGGTGTTGCTGTCTGTAAATCTCTTGGCAGAGGGCATAGCATGGAGAGGGTACGGACCATGCAGCTCTTAGTTCCCTGGTGATTTTTCTTGATCATCTTCCGTTCCTCCCATTTTTCCCCACTTACATTATCTCTCTGGGGAAATCATCTTTAAAACTTAAGTATTGTAAAGGACGCTTGACCTGAGCCTTTGATTTGGTACAATATGGGGCTGCCGTCCTGAGAGGAAAGTCATTTGTTCAGTTTAGCGGGATTTTCTGCTTGAAACCTACTAAGAAACTGAAGTCTACGTTTCTGCAGTGGTTCTTCTCTTCAGGTAGTATCAGGGAAATAATGGCCCTTGAAATGTCTCCCTGCTGCTAATGGGAGTGGGACAGTGTCACCTTGACACAGGCAGAAATCTGTTCCAGTTCTGCAGTGTGCTGTGACAGGTCAATCAGGAATTCATTGTGGAAGTGACAGTGCCCGTGTGGACTAATTCTTGACTTGGCCTTTTTTTATTTTTAGTACAAGAGTTTTGAAAACAGGTCAGAGACTGTGGCATGTAATTATGGCCTATAACTGCAGCATTTCTATTCACAGAAGATAACATCCATATCTGTCAGTCAGGAAGGGTCTCTTGGCTTCCAGAGGCAATTTGCATGAGTGAGTGCTTTTCTCTGTTGAAACCAGAAACTTCTGATGCTCTAGCCCTCTCTGTTACGGGTAAAGTGTCCTCTTAGGACTTTGTTCTTGCGTATTTTTCACATCTGGATCAAGGTGGTCCTGAGCCACAATCCCAACAACAGAAAATAAAGGTGACTTTTCATAGCAGGGCTTCCAGCACACGTTGAACTGCTCTGATTCGTGCCTTCGTACCGTGTAGCTGGCTGCATTGTTGGAGTGCCTGGTTAAGGCTAGTTTTAATTTTAATTCCGTGCTTTCTAATGTGTAGCTGTCTCAGCACAATATGTTCAACTTTTGTTACAAGTTTATGTGGTAGATGCAAGATCTTCATGTCTCAAAGTTTATAGGATGCTCAATACAAGCTTATGCCTGACTTGCGGCTGGCTCTCTGGACAAGTTGATATTTCTTTCTATACCAGTTCAAAGCTTGCTTTCTAATCTTTAAAAAAAATCTGCAAGTAGAATTTTGCAACTTTACTTCTTTTATGAGATTATTCAGATTTGAGGTTCACACTTAATCAGATGAAGATCAAGTAGTTTTAATCCTATGGCTGTTGATTGCTATAGGCTTTAATTTGCATGGTAAGGCCATTCTTCCCAGATGTTTTGTATCCTTGTCAAACTATGTGTCCTCTCAGAGGCTGATCCGATCTGCTCTTAAGGAACCAGAATCAGCCCGATGATGCATAAGCACTGTCCTGGTTGTGGGATTAATTCACATATCTTTGCAGCTCTTCCTGTTGCCACTCTTCAAGGCAGCAGTGAACGATAAACCTGGCAGATTGTTAAACAAAAAACTGGAGCATGTTGCTTTATTTTTAGTGTATACCCCCAAAGTAAAAGCCCAAACTGTTTGTATGTGTAAATGCCATACCAGACAAGGAAAAAGCTGTAATTACAGACAGAAAATCTAGTGAGAGTCAGAGTGTATAGTGGGACGTTTTGTAAGACTTTTCCTAGAAGTTCTCTCCCAGCAGTCCTTGATGTTTTTTGAAATTTATTTATTTTTTCCTCCATCTGGTGAGAAGTAACTGCAGGCCACTGTGACTGTCTCACTTTCCTGTGTGGAAATGCAGCACAGCCTTTGGAGGAGAATGCACTATGGAGTCTCCCCAGGGAAGAGTTGGGATGGGAAATGGAGATTTCTCACCTCTGGCAAGATCAAACTACTTTATAAAATCAACTGCTTTCGGACAGGTCACATAATTACCAGCATCTCTGCCAGGTTCCAGAGCTTTTCCTCAATTAACGTAACGCTGGGGCATTGGCTATGGTCCATTTGAGATATGGAGGTTCAGAGCATTGATAATGCTGAATGTTGCACTTGAGGAGTATTTCCAGCTTGGAAAGAGATCCACAGCACCTAGCCATATGCTAAATGGCTTTCTATTTTCTGAATGCTTTTGTAGCTATTTTGTAAATACCTTGTGGGCTCTGTTAGGGATTCTACGTCCCTGTCTCTAATGCTGAGTTAAAGATAAAAGGTTGTTGTAAAGAAACAAAAAAATCCCTACTTAGTTTGCTGCTGCTTCCCAGATCCCTGAAGCTGCTCAGCTTTGTACCTGGAGATATCCTCTCTCAAGATGTTACCCTTCCACAGGTTTTCAGGACAGTGCGACCTGTTTTGTGTCCATAGATAAGATGGCATTACAGCTTGCCTGATTTTGGTCAACCTGTGGTGTCCAGGTTTTTTTCCTGCTATCCATGAAGTGCATTTTCTTCAAGCCACTGAATTTGGCAGGGAGCAGTGGCAGTAAGTGGCTGTGGAGTTCCCAACTGATGGAACCTGTAGGGCTTCTCACTATTCTATCTGGCATGAGCTGAATTTAGAGAAGATGGTTGTTCAGGCTTCTGGTTTGAAAATGAGTTATTATGAAGAAGAAGCTGCTTGTGCTTCTTCTTTTCTTTGAGCTAGATCCTTGATCTAAAGATGCTCTTACATCCACAGGTTTGTCCAAGAAAATTATTCATGTAGCAGGCAAATAGCACTGCTAAAGCTCAGCGTTCTGCCATCTGTCAGTTCTTTAGTGCTATTATTTGGCAGCTGAGTTTATTTGGTCTCATTTATTTTATATTAAAGTTTCCAAAATAAGCATATCCCTCTTCTGTAAGCAGATCTTTTCAGGCAGATATTGTGGGCTGGAGCTGTTCTCTCTGAAGTAATCATCCGAAATAATGATGGAGGAAGGGGATTGTTTTATTTTGGCTTAGTTTGTTTTTTGCATGGAAGTGGAATGAGCCCCTAAATCAGGGGAAGCAAAGCCACGCAAACTCAAAAATTAATGCTATCCACAGAGGGCAGGAAGGACAGAATGCACAATTTAAGAAGTTGGGTTGAATGAGGCTGGGGGAGGGAGGAGGAGGAGGAATGTAATGTTGAAGAGAAGAAAGTTATTTTGAGATACATACTTAATAAATGAGAAGAAATGGGATGGTGAGGTGGAACAAAGAAATGCTGTTCAGCTGTGCTGCATTGCAGTGCTGATGGAGAAGGGGAAGAGTTAATGCCACGGCATGTCACACTCCAGCCTCATCTTCCTTGACAAAGCCTTTTTAGGTTCAGGAGGTCTCTGTTCAGGAAAGGTTGGCTGCATGTATGTAAAGCAAATGAACCACTTAGGCCTTGCAGGATGCCTGCTGGGAGGGCAGCCAGGGGCGATGCAGGCTTATCCTCTGTCTGACATGAGCCAGTGCTGCTGCTCTCTGCCTATGGGTGAGGCAAAACCTGCAGTGGGTGCAAAACTGCCATCATTGGAAAATGTTCTGAAACAATAATGGGCTTCATCTCTGTTGTGCCAGCTTGTATGCAATGAGCTTCCCACTAATCATGAAAAAGGAGAACGGAATGTCGAGAAACAGCGGGATCAGAGTTAATACTTCTGTCAGCCGGACACCCCTGATTCCCATGTACTTCAGAATCAGTTCTGAGGTACAGAAAATGTTTTTGACCTCAGAGTGAGCTCGTTCATCTG